GGGAGGGGCGCGGGGACGGAAGCCGGGAATCAAAGTGCCCAACCCTATTGTTGAATACAGGAGGAAACTGAGACTCAGACAGACTAGGTTGAACCCAGTTGGTCATTTGATGTCCCTCCCACAACACTGTGAGAACCTTCGTGCAGGTTTGCAAAGGCCCTTCCAGCAAAGACATTTGCTACTGAACTTTGCCTGGAAGTAAGTTTCACCGTGACCTACTTCGAGAGCGGTTGTATCCTCTCCGTTAGGCTGCTCCTGGTGTGGCAGTCACAGGGATCGTCAAATCCTCTGGTGAGACTTTGTCTACACTCACAACCCACCTTTCACAGCCCCTACTATGAATACATTCCAAAACTAGTTACCCCTGTCTATGCAAAACTTAGCCGGGGGAGATGGCTCCCATCTCTAATCCTAGTAGTAGGAAGGCTGAGGCAGGAGGATCAGGAGTTTTAAGTCGGTCTCCAATACCTAGGGAATTCAAGGCCAGTTTGGGCTACATGAAACCCTGAGAAGGAGGAGAAGGAAGACAGGGAGGAGGAGGGAGGGGTGGAAAAAAGGAGGAAGAAGGAAGGGAGAGAAGAAAGGAGAGGGAAAAGGAGGGAAGGAGAACAGGGAAGGGGAGAGAGAGGGGGGGAAAGGGACTCTTGAATCAACAGACTGGGCAAATTTTCTAGGGAACACAAAAGGTAGTTCTATAAAAGGCTGAGCTAATGAGAAAGTTAAAACTTCATGAGATGCTTATAGGTGCCACGAATCTAGTGGGAGGGGGGGGGGCGGGTGTCTGTTGAAAGCCCTCTAGTGGAAGCAGAAGGCCAGCTGCTTGGCCCCTGCCAAGCCAGCTCAGATCTCAAATCAAATCTCAAACCCCGGTGTTTAGAAGATACCTAAATTCACGTGATGCAGAGTCACCCCCCAAACGCAGCCAGATCTGAACCCCACTGGTCACCGTATTCACTCCCACCTGCTGGCATTTTAACTGAGCCCTCTTCTTTTTAAAGTCCTAATTTTGTGCCACTTCAGCACCCCCTGCTGGCCCTAACGTCATCGTTCAGGTGGTTCTTGTGCTTTCTGGGCCACACCAGGATCTACACTTAGTTCCTCTAACTTCTCCTTCCTAGAATAGCAGCTACGGTTGTTCACTTCCTTCCATCAAGACACAAACAAATAAAGACAAAGCACTTTTTTTAACCATTAAAAAGTGAGCAATTAAAAGCACATTTCCATTTATTAAGTTTTTGCCTAAGCAAACCCCTTTTTAGTTTTTTTAACATTTTGAAATAGGGGAGATAAAGAGAAGCCTTATTTTCTGATGCTGATTTCTGAATTTTTTAGGTAATGGCCCTCGGGTTTTCTTTTTAATATTATGTCTTTAATTTTTAAAGGACATATTATGGGGCGAAACACAACACCACACCATTTTGTCTTTACTACAGGCTAAATCTTCCAGCTTGTACTCATTAACGGCTTTTGCCTGGAAAATATAATAAAAACATTTATTCACCATGGATAAAAAGAACTGACAGACCAAAGAAAAGATTCCATCCCAGTCCAGCTTCATGAAACGATGAATTTATTGAGATTATTACAGGGGTATCAATGACACAGGTGTGCTACCAGGAAATCACCTGAACGACAGCTACACCACAGAGGATTCCCACCCACTTTGATCATACAGCGGCAATTGGACTCTCAGGGAGGGGAAGGGCCTTATGAGGGTTCCATGTATCCCCCCTCCCTCCATGAGGGAATATTAATAGCCCACATCTTGTGTGGGACATCATAGCTGCTCTACTTCAAAATGATGAAGGTCATAGTTAATCCAGAGGAGACAACTATATCACATACACAGAGTCATGTGATTAGTTCTGGGGAACAGAACATAGGTTTGTAGCTCCTAACCCCAAAGCACCCATGTGGTAAAGGCCATGCAAGTATTGCATTGCTGTTATTGTTCTGTTCGTTATAAACTTTCCACACTGTAGCGTTCTGTGACAGCAGGCACAGAATGAACTAAGACAATAGAGGAGACTGAAAAAACACCATTTTGTAAATTTGGAATAGCATACACAAAGGCATGCTATTTTTGCTGTGAAGAGACACCATGGCCAAGGCAACTCTTATAAAAGAAAGGATTTAGTTGTGGACTTGCTTACAGTTTCAAATGTTAGTCTGTTATCATCTTGGCAGGAAGCATAGTTGGCACACAGGCAGATATAGTGCTGAAGAAGTAGCTGAGAGTTCTACATCCTGATCTGCAAACAGAGAGAAACTGGACGTGATGTGGGCTTTTAGAAACTCAAAGCCCAACCCCAGTGACACACTTCCTCCAAAAAGGCCACACCTCCTAATCCTTCTAATCCTTTCAAATAGTGTTACTCCATATATATGTATACTGCACACACACACACACACACACACACACACACACACACACACACCCCTAAGCCTGTGGGGACCATTCTTATTCAAACCACCACACATGGGTTACTGAATTTCTAGAGTTAATGTAAACCGAGACAATACTCTTTTAATCTATTCTGCTCTTATGGCAAGACAATCTATTAGCTGTATTTTTAGTTGAGTATTTGGAGATCAGTCAGATGGTTAGAAAATGCCAGCCAAGTACCACATCAGCCTTCTAGGTTGTATTGTTTTTTGTGTTGTGACCAAATACCTGATGTAAATGGGGAAGAGAAATTTACTGTGGCTCAAGTTTAGAAAGATTTCCATCCATCAAGGTGTGGAGGCATGGCTATGGGAGTGGCTCCATCTGCAAAGTAGGGAGCATGTGGAAAGGGAAAACTAGGGCACATAGAACCTTCAAAGGTCTGCCCATAAAAGCCTATCTCACCAGCCATGCCCCACCTCTTAAAGGCTCTGCAGCCTTCAGAATGCCCCCACAAGCTGGGGACCCAGTGTTCAAAACATGAGCCCAAAAAGCACACTTCAGATTCAAAATACAATACAAGCCCATTTAAAAATATATCATTTTTAAATAAAGTAACTAATACTTACTACATTTCTTAATTTCATTTTGAGTGTGCATGTGCCATGCTGGGCATGCATGGCATGCATGTGGAGGTCAGAGAACAACTTGCAGGAGTTGGTTCTCTCCCTTCCACCACATGGGTCCTGGGATAGAACTTAGGCCATCAGGTTTGGTGGCAGGTAGGTACCTTTACCTACTCTGCCAGCTCATAACTCTGGAGACTGGAAAGTTCTATTAGGGAGGTGCCAATATCTGTCCAGGGCCTCCTTACTGAATCATCACAAGACAGAAAGTAAAAAGGCAAAACAGTAAAGGAGTCCAACACATCCTTTCATGAGAACCTTGATCCACTCAGGAGAACAGATTCTCCCTAATCTAAGGGCTTCTAACAGCCCGACCCCTTAACACTGTAGATGTGGGGACTGAATCACAGTATAAGTTGTGGAGAGGACAGACATTCAAACCATAGTACCCCCTTTCACCTCTATTGTAAAAATAGAGAATTTACACTGATAAGAACAAAATATAAAAACAATGCACCATGACTAAGACCTTATTGTTGAAGACACCACATCCCTTGGTTGCAGAACATAGAGAAACCAGGCTAGGACTGAGCTGGAAGCTTCCTTCTCACTGGCTGTCTCTCATGGTGTCAAAAGGTGCTATCCAGACTGCTGGGGCAGAGTGTTTATCAGCAGCCTTACTCAGCTAGGGACCTTCTGTGCTCTACCTCTGCACTGCCAGGCAGAGTACGCCCAACTGGTGCAACAGAGGTGTGACTGGTGGTGCACCCAAACAATTTCTGATTGAATTTGGGGCCTGCTTCACAGGAAGAAATTCACACTGGAACTGCAAATCTGCTCAAAAGCCCATGGCCAGGGAGGTCCTAGACCCCAGTAGAGAAGCTACTGCTGTTGCTTTGCTAAATGGACATGATACACTTGTTGAAATGCCTGCCAAGTATTTGTGTTTGTGCCCAGAGATTAGTGCTGTCAACTCAAGTCAGAGAAGCTTCCTTTCACAGTGGGTGACAGTGACAGCAGAGACAAAAAACACGTCATAGCACTGGGAATAAGAGGCTGAATGCTTAGTCCAAAAGGAGACATCTATAGCATTTCCAACTAAAAACCAAGCATTCACACACCCAAGCCTATGAGAGAACATTTCACATTCAAACCACAAGACCTTATAAGGTGACTGCTCCTCTTGAGTTGCTGAAAGTTGAGAGTGTCAGAATGGGGTGGCACTTGAAAGATCTTTTCCAAGGGTGTACTGGCTAGTTTTATGTCAAATTGATATAAGATAGAGTCATCAGAGAAGAGGAGGCCTCAATTGAGAAAAATACTTTTTTTTTCCTAATTCAATAGCAATTTATTTACATTTTACATTTTTTGGGTGTGGAGATCAAACTCAGGGCCTCACACACAGTAAGCAAGTACTCTACCATTCAGCCTACTACACCCCTATCCTTCAACAGTAATTTTAAAAGGACATTTGTCCTTATTAAATCTATCTAAAGAACTGGGCATCACTCTTTCACACTGACTAGGTTATGCAATGTCAAATTAAGTTACATAGCTACGATGGTACCCACAACTTCCAGAAACCTGTTGGGGCACATAGCTGAGACTCAAATAAGTATATAGTATAAGTAAAGTAATGGGAGCCAGAGTTTGAGAGTTTTCTGTAAGCAGCTCACAGAGTTTGGAGACCAGTGAGTAGCAGTG